TGGCTGCTGACGTGAAAAGAAACCAGTCAGCTGCACCGTGTGAATAAGGACATGATTATCAGATTGGGTTATAACCTATCGGTCTGCACCATCTAGAGTTTCAAGACAGAACTTTGTATATCTTTGACCACTGTGATGCCCTGGCTGTAGTGGGGTCAAACAGGGGTTGTGATCTGCAGAGGCGGAACATTATCTCCTTATGTTCTCAGGTGCAGAGGCCTAAAGGTCACGTGACCTCATAATGCCGGGTCACTTTACTCCATTTCTAACACTCAATTAGAGAGAAACCAGACATCCTCGCACGCAACGAGTCACATGCACACACACACCTCTCTATCTTTAATCTTAAAGGGATTCCAAACCTGTATGATTTTCTTTCTTGAGTAGAACATTAAAGATGCTGATGTTTCAACTGTTTTCGTCCACAAAATGAAAGTCAGTGGTGTCCAAAATCTTTTTTTTTTTTGTTTTTTTTAGAATATCTTCTTTTGTGTTCTGCAGAGGAAAGGAAGTTATGAGGGTTATGAGGAATGACTTGTAAAAAAAAAGATAACATAATTTAAAAAAACAGTACTTGTTACAGAAATAATAACAAGTTAATAATAACACACACACAAACACACAAATATTTTGAAGAATGATGGTAACCATTTCTGCTCCTCACTAACTTTCATAGTACTTTTTTTTCCATACTATGGAAATCAATGGCTACCAGCAACTGCTTGGTTACGAGTATTATTTGCAATCGTCTTTTATGTTCAGCAGAAGAAAGAAACTCATACAGGTTTGGAAAAACTTGAGGGTGAGTAAATGATGACAGATTTTTGGGTGATCCATCCCTTTAAGCACACTTCTTTTTCACAAGTTCATAGCAGCCAACCTTTGGGGTCACAAGTTTAATTTCTAAGGAACAACTTGCTAAAGTGTATATACCTTGATGTCGTTTTTGCTAAAAGCATCTGCATAAATGTAATGTTAAATGCATATAGTTGTTCATTGACAGTGCCTGGTGGGCTATAATGTAGCCACAACAAGCAGTGGAAAGCAACTATGATATTTTCCTTTAAAATCACACTTGCATACTCTCACACCCACTTGCATTCAAACATACAAACAAGCATATACACACACACACACACTCACATTTGATCTTTCCAGGATGTGGTGTGCTGTGCTGTGTGCACGGACGGGGTTTCCCTCCACACCACTGCAGCATTTCCGCCTCGGCCGCGTGCTCGTCTGTGCACGATGCTAGCAGAAGAAATTGCAATTTTAAATGGGCATTGTTGCTGCTTTGCTTTTGTTCTGCAATATACTTTTGATTGGTTGGAGGGTCAAAGTACTGTATATTTATTTATTTATTTGTTTGTTTGTTTGTTTTTAGCAATATCTCAAAATAATAGTTTTACAAAGATATCACCAGTTGTAGTTTGCTTGATATACACAAAAGAACAATTAAAGAGCCTCCAAATTCAGAACTTTACATTTTCAGTCTTGGACGCAGCTTGTTGGCGCTTTATTCCAAATGTGATTTCACATTTGCTTTTAGGAATGTGGTTATTGCCGGAATTGGAGAAGTGATATTGTCATAGCAGCCGGAGTTACGTCTGGTATTTATCTAGTTGTCCTGCCAAAACGCTCTCTCTCATGTTGCCACCTCCAGCACTGTGACAGGCTGTGTGTTTTATTTAGAGATGAGATGCTCGCAGTGATTCACAGCCCACCAAGGCCCTGAGACATGTGCGGCATTACAAGATTCTCTATTAAACACGTTCATTTACCATTTGTAACAACTACATTAAAATGTTTAGCCGGAGAAGCTCAGTCACAGGACAACTCGTGAAAATTACAGATAATAGTGAAAGGGACGCATGTTGTTACACATGATGCAGCTGACAGGTGCTTGAGTTTTGTGACAAAGGCCAATATCAGTATAAAAGTTATTATAGTGCCAAATCACTTTTCTTATAATTCATGATTTAAAATTGATTCACTCTGTTTTATTTATTTGTATTATAATTATTTTTTTTTTTTGTGACTTTGTCTTTATTTTGTCAATTTATTTTGTACAGCACATTGGTCCATAGTAGTTGTTTTTAATTGTGCTCTATAAATACATTGAAATTGAAAATTAAAATTAACTGACACTTAGAAAATATTTTCTTTAAATCTGTAATGTTTGTTTTGGGTTTTGTTTCTTGTTCATTGTTTTCATGTCTTTTATTTTGTAGTTTGGGCACAGTCATGTTCTGTCATGTGATTCCCTTGACTGTGTGTAATGTTCTGATTGGTTCATGTGTCTTGTTTCTCACTGGTTGCTTCTTGTCATGTGACCCTCATTGTTTGATATAAATAGCCCTCATGTTGCCTTTGTTCTTTGTCTAGCTTTAAATTGTGTAACCTGCTGTTGGTGAGTTGTATTTCTGTTATGCCAAGTCTGTTTCAAGTCAAGTCTTCGTTTGTTTGGATTATTTTAAATAAACCACATTTAGGTTCATCATCACAACTTGACTCCAGTGGACTAAATGTTACAGAAAGCTAAACCAGGCCATAGAGGATTACGTGGAGGTCTTTTGTGGAGTTTATCATAAGGTAGACTTTAAGGATAGCTTCCTGAAAGACATTTTCCATTATGGTTTGGATAAAAATGTATCTCGTTTAATGCCACGTAATACCCCTTAATGGATTTTCTGAAAAATACATTGACTTTGCTTTGTTGCTGGCTGGTTCACCATTTACTGTGGGGGTTGCTGAGGAGGAACACAGCTATCCTACAGTACCCGCCACATCAGAACTTTTCCACGTCCCGACCGTCATGTCAGGAGTTGTTCACGTCATGCCTGCCAAGCCAAAGCCTGCCCACATCATGTCTGCCAAGCCACAGCCTTCTCACGTCATATCTGCTACTCCAGGGCCTGCTCGCGTCATACCGGCCACTCAAGAGATTCTTCACAACATGGCCGCCATTCAAGAGCTTTGTCGCAAGATGGCCGCCACACAAGAGTCTCTTCGCAAAATGGCCGCCCTTCTAGAGTCTTGTCACATCTCAGCTGATCGTCCAGAGTCTTGTCACGACATGGCCACCATTCCAGAGCCTCGTCCCATCATGGCCGCCATTTCAGAGTCCTCCACTTCTTCTTTGTCTGTTTCTGCTCCACGGTCCAGGTGCTCCAATGCCCCATGGTCCAGACCCACCTTTGCTGCCTGCCACAGCTCCACAGCCTAGTTCTACCATGATCCAGGGCCTGTTCCCCTTCACGGGCCTGGCCCTCCATCCCCTGGACTCTGTGGGTTTTGTTTGTTTTAGAGTGGGTGTTTCACTAGGGCGTCAGGTGCCGCCCTTAGCGGGGGGATATGTAATGTCTGTTTTGTTTCTTGTTCATTGTTTTAATGTCTTTTATTTTGTAGTTTGGCCACAGTCATGTTCTGTCATGTGATTCCCTTGTCTGTGTGTCATGTTCTCATTGGTTGTCTTAGTCATGTGTCTTGTTTCTCATTGGTTGGTTGTCATGTGACCCTCATTGTTTGATAAAATTAGCCCTCATGTTGCCTTTTGTTCTTTGTCTAGCTTTAAACTGTGTAACCTGCTGTTGGTTGAGTTGTGTTTCTGTTATGTCAAGTCTGTTCATGTCAAGTCTGTTTCAAGTCTTCGTTTGTTTGGATTATTTTAAATAAACTGCACTTGGGTTCATCACAACTTGACTCCAGTGGACTAACTGTTGTTTATTGATATGTACAGCAATAAACTGCTGTTTATTACAATAAAATAAGTACCAATAATAACAAAATATGATGATAATGATGTTTATGTATTTCATTTACAGCAATAAATAAATCCTTAATAGTAAACACCTGACACTATATACAGGTGCATCTCAATAAATTAGAATGTTGTGGAAAAGTTCATTTTATTTCAGTAATTCAACTCAAATTGTGAAACTCGTGTATTAAATAAATTCAATGCACACAGACTGAAGTAGTTTAAGTCTTTGGTTATTTTAATTGTGGTGATTTTTGGCTCACATTTAACAAAAACCCACCAATTCACTATCTCAACAAATTGGAATACGGTGACATGCTAATCAACTCAAAACACCTGCAAAGGTTTCCTGAGCCTTCAAAATGGTCTCTCAATTTGGTTCACTAGGTTACACAATCATGGGGAATACTGCTGATCTGACAGTTGTCCAGAAGACAATCATTGACAACCTTCACAAGGAGGGTAAGCCACAAACATTCATTGCCAACGAACTAGCGGGACCAGGGAGACCACCGACGTACCCGCAGTGGGCCAGCGAAGTGGAGCACAGGGACCCAACCCGGGAGGCTTCCAAAGACTTAAACTACTTCAGTCTGTGTGCATTGAATTTATTTAATACACGAGTTTCACAATTTGAGTTGAATTATTGAAATAAATGAACTTTTCCATGACATTCTAATTTATTGAGATGCACCTGTATTTTGTTTGTTTAATCACATTTATTATTTGTTTAATCATTAATTTATGTTTAGCAATAAAGAAACAAAAAGTAATAGCAGTAATAACAAAAATATGTTTATTTGTTTATTTACAACAATAAAGAAATAAATAAGAGTAGCAATAAAAACAAAAATAACATTGATTTATGTGCATCAATAAATAAACAAGTAAAAAATAATAATAAAAATTTTATTGATTTATATAGCAATAAAGAAACAAATAATAACAATAGATAAAATATATAAATATAATAGATTTATTAATTCATTCATTGAAATTAATTATCAAATTACACATTTTAGGATACATTTTTACCATGTGGCACATATGTTTGAAAGAACTCATGAAATAGTTTGATGAGCAAACTATTTCTTGTGTTGATTTTCTTATTGAAATAGGATGTTGGACTGTGTCATATAGAAAGGTTGTTGTTATTTTCATGTATCCAGTTTGTTACGGTTGGTCAGAAACATACGGTCATGGACGAGAGTAAAGACAGACTTTGTTGTTGGTTTTCTAGGTAACTGGGATCCGCAGGCATTTGTTGAAAAGTTTGGTCTGGCTAGACCAGTGGCTTCACTCCAGTTCCTCACCCAAAACCACAAGGACTAGAGGACACCTCCATCTCAACTTTGACCTCTGGCTTTCACACACTCTATGGCTTGTTTTTGTCCCAATATCTAGAATGAATGTATTGCACATCAGTATTTAGGTGAATGTTAAACTAATAAAAGATTAATTGTTTCCTCATGTCTGAATTATAACTTGTATTAATGTGTTTGATGTAATATCACATATCTCATACGTTCACAAAAATCTCAATAAATATTATATTCATATCATTTCAAGACTCCTTTTTCTGAATGTGAGCAGCATGTTTATAAAATGTTATTAATGAGAAAAAAAACTACTATCCCACAAAGTGTATTTTAGGAGTTTCTCCCACACTCTAGCTCTGTTCCAAAACCTAGAGTGCCTTGCTGTCAGCTGCCAACATAGAGAGCCGCCATGGAAGCTCCTAAATGACCCATATGGAGCACTCCACATAGCAGAAAATGTCCAAGAAAATGTACATTTAGGGGTGCAACAGCTTTTCACTAGGTGCAGTGACTTAAAGGAACAACTCTGTACCTTATTTATGTCTAAGAATCTATTTTTAAGTTATGTCTAAGGTTCTTATAGTTTTTTTTCTGCGTACAGTATGTGTAACGTAAATTTCGACATCAGCATAGTACAAATGCAGTAAGATTTTTCTAACTGCATGTACAGTTTACACTCAGCTCAAACAAAGTACACTCACACACAGAGCCGATCCTCCCTATACGCAAAATATGCAAGCTGCGGAGGGCCCCCGAAACACCAGGGGGCCCCCTTGCTCTCAAATATGATTTAATTTTAGTTTAGTTTTTTTAATTTGGCCAGTGGTTATGAAAACATGAATGATAATTTTTTTTAATGCGGTGCGCTGTCGCCCTTTCTAGGTAAAAATCAGTATGTTCTGCGTAAATATCAGAATGCAGAATACGTTCATAACCACTCATACCCCACTCCACTGCCCCCACTCCCACCACAGTTTTGCATAGGGCCCCCAGAAGTCTAGGATCGGCACTGCTCACACATGCATCTTGAGGTTTTGTTTGGCACTAGTTACTTTGTCCACAATGTGGCAACACTGTCCCAACTAAGTGTGCCGCACACAACCTGAAAAGTGAAGCCAAAACATTTCAATCGCCCCCCTGGTGGCTGGCTGCAGTATAGGTCATAAAACCCACCCTCTCCATGTAAACGAACGGGACGTGAGCCAAACAAAAAAAAAATCTAATTACACTTCAAATAAATTTTTCCCAGAGATGCTTTCCAACATTTTAAGTAGTTCTTATCACGCTGATTTTCTAATAAGTTTGTTAGTTAGTTATTTGATTTTTATCACTCATAACTTCTGGAAAGAAATAGCGCAGACTAGTGTGCATGTGTCGAGCATCTATGTTTGTGCATGCTATCAAATGGAGTACACTTTGAAAGGCTGTGCACTATATGCCTATGCTTAGTGTTCGTGTCAAAACTAAAGTATACTTTTGGCTTAAGGGTACATATTGCTATTCTTCGTTACTTATAAGCACATTTTAGGTGAAGATGAGGTACCAAGTTGTCCCTTTAAGGGGTACAGCCCCAGTGACAAGCTGAAGGCCGTGACACACTCGGTCAACGTTGAGCCGTCGTTAAACATCTGTTAACACAGTTTTTGCTCTACACCTTCACCACTAATCTGACCCCATCTACAGCTTTTTGGCTGATTGAGCATGTTGAATCAGTGTTGTGCATTCTGGTAAACAGATCACTCTGATTGGCTGAGAAAAACATGGCTGTTTGGAATGAAGGATGTTGTTGATATGAATGATATTCAGAATGGTAAGCAAGTCCTAGTTTTGGTTGTCGTTTTTTAAATGATGAATATAGGCTACTGCCACCTGCTGGTCTGGAGAGTTATTTCCTTTCACGCAGACGCAGAACATACAGGTGCATCTCAATAAATTAGAATGTCGTGGAAAAGTTCATTTATTTCAGTAATTCAACTCAAATTGTGAAACTCGTGTATTAAATAAATTCAATGCACACAGACTGAAGTAGTTTAAGTCTTTGGTTCTTTTAATTGTGATGATTTTGGCTCACATTTAACAAAAACCCACCAATTCACTATCTCAACAGACAATGTCAGACAATGTGCTCCTCAAGTAAAGCACTCTCACATTTAATTCCAGCAGTTTGATGGTAGCATGTTGCTAAGCTAACGAAGTGATACATTAATAAGCATAAAAATATGTGGTACAAACCAATATTGGTTCAAATAATCAACTTTAGATTACAATGATGTTACCAACATGTTTGAGTGTTGAATTCTTGGATGGAGTTTTTGTGTGGTGTATTCTGGAATTGGCTTTTCCTCAAAGGACATGTAATGCACGCTTTGGGTAAAATGAGGAAGCAATGTCCAGCCTTCAAACTTTCAGAACAGCCTTTATGTCGACGATACAACTATGATTACTTAAAATGCTGTCTAGGCAGCTCAAAAGATTTTTAGACAGAACTCAATACTTCCAGATCACAAAGACAAGATACAATCAAATCACGTGTGCACACACTCACACATACCACTACGGCTGGTTATCGGCATACTATCCCATGGCCTGTCCGATTCTCCCTGAAATGGACAGTCTACTTCTCTGGCTTTCTTAAAGGCATAATATGTCATTTTTGCCACTGGAGGGCGCGTATTCAAAATAAACAAATAGACAAAGGCGTAGTTTGATGACGCTGTGACTGAGTGTGGAATCATGGGAGTTGTAGTCTTCATCCCCACAGCTGATGCAATCCGACGGGACTCGGGCAGAAATCATGTTCATGGATGAGCTAATGATTTATTAACATAGTAGTATGAAGCCGGGTGAGGCTGAAAGCTGTCGAAGTGAAACGAGGCGCTGAACGAGCGTGACACACGGCTCGAAAGCAGCAGAGCTTTTATTATGCCACAGTCGACCGCTTCCACTCCTTCCGGTCGTGCGTATGTGGGGTAAAGCAGCGCTGTTTTATCATACTAGATACATTTGAAAGTTCTGTTATAATGCTACGGTCGTCACCTGTCTATTAAAACGCACAACATATTAAAGCGTCTTTGGTGTTTCCATGTTTTCTACAAAACAAAACCGGAAATCGAGGGGTTATGACGTCATTGGCAGGCGACACAATGACACTATGGGCACGGGCCGTGTCACTGGTTAAAATAGCTTATTTCTCTGGATTGAAACATTCTTCGAAACATTTGGGATAATGTAAGTACACAAGTCAGCAAAATATATAACACTGTTCTAGTGGCTTTTGGATATTTTAATTAAAAAAATCGTACATATTGTGCCTTTCAATAATCCACCCTCACTTACAAACCGCCGTAGTGATGCATTCCTGTTTTCTTGGCAGTGAGAGTAGGCCCGGACTCTTCCAGACAGCGCAATACCACACAAACCAACAGTAATGCAGTTTGCGCTCTCTGGCCGCTCTGAGGTTAGACGTGCAGTGGAGGTTGAACGTGATGACTTCATGCCAGTCTGCATGTGAAAGATCTAGACAGATGAACAAGAAAAGATGGACAGAAACAGAGGTGTGAAAGTAGCTTCAGCGCTGTCACACTTTAGAAAGTGTGTGGAAAGGCAGGCGGGATGTACGTCAGGGGCAATAGAGGAAGTAAGGGGGAGGCCACAACTCAACCGGAAGCCGCAGTGGAACTACGACCAAAATACTCTCCACGTGTTACTTCAGGACAGACAGAAGGGGGCACGGGTTCACGACGAGCCTTTTTTATTATTATTGTGGTTTTACGTATGCACACGTTTACAAAAGAAAAATACACTTTTTGTAACTTCACCTCTCAGTGTTTCTCAGACAAGCAGGTTTTGTCTCACCTGAGTAATTTTTAGTTTACAAGCATTTTCATAGTGCACTATTTCTGAGCAGACTTATGTAATAATTATAGACATGCAAAACAAAGGCGGATGATTCCGCAAAAAACTAGTTTCAATTCATCTCAGACATATATCACATATATATATATATATATATATATATATATAGCACAACACTTTCCATACACACAAATACATATATGTGTTACTGTATGTAGTGTTCATAAAAAAAAATATTAAAAAATTAATAAAATAAATAAAAAATTCAAAGTTTACATAAAGCTAAATAATTCATTCATTCATTCAATGTGGCCTGTACTGAAACCAAAAACCCATTACAAGTTTTATTATTATTATTATTATTATTAACATAATAGCAGCTGTATATGTATTGTTATTAATATTATTGGTATTGGTATTCTTAAAATAATAAATAAATAAATAAATAAATATATATATATATATATATATATATATTTAACAAATGTATTATTTTCTGCTACAGAATCATATTATTATTATTATTATTGTTGCTGGTGCTGTTGTTGTTATTATTGTTGTTTGTTACTAATGTATTAATTTTCTAGGATTTATTCATAGAATGTAATCCCTCTCCACTTCATTTGTTACAGAATGTATATATAAATGTATTAGTTAATTAATAATGTACTGAGCCATCTGTTACTGTAGGCAATGTTCAAATCACACAAACTATTAATTGTGGTATTGTGCATCATAATAAATCATTACAATGCATTGCAGAGCTGTATTGTGTGAAGTCTCTACTGACTCAAAATGTCTATAGCATCTAATCCCTCTCAGCTTCACTACTGGGTGTGTAAGGCTGGGTCACAAAAGCTCCTCTCTGGAAAAAAAAAAACTATCGGCTGCAGATGAGCATTTCTGTCTCAGAGGACAGATTGATATCAATACACCAGATGTCTGGAAAAAGGGCCGGGATTTAGGGAAAGTACTTTGATGTGGATATGATCAATGTAAGTTAGTGGTTTAATCGAGCAGGCAATAGTGTCTCATCTGACACACATACACACACACGCTCTGGCACACTCTCGCGTGCATTCATACTTTCACAGACGGGCAGATCATTTCTCTCACATACTCCGACCTCGAGTGCCACACACACACACACACACAAGCAGGGCTCCTGCAGGTCTTTGTGCCTCGGCTGGTTAAGCCAGTCTTTGGTGAATCTCACCATGTC